GAATTTAGTGCTATATTAAATACAAATTAATGACAGGCCAATAAAAATCACAACTTAGCCCTGGCTGGTGTGGCTCAGTGGATTGACTGCCAGCCTGTGATCCAAAGCATCGACGGTTCAATTCCCAGTCAGGGCACATGCCTGAGTTGTGAGCCAGGTCCCCTGAAAGGGGCACATGAGAGGCAACCACACATTGATGTTTCCCTCTCTCCCTCTCTTCCCCTCTCTGTAAAAATAAGTAAATAAAAATCTTTAAAAAATATGTATGTGTATATATGTATAAAATCACAACTTTAAAATAACTATAAAAGTTTAGCTTCAATAGCTATTCTCCTTTTGAAAAGAGATGCCTGTGATACATGCTAACAACTTTAGGTCTGAGTGCTATAGGGACTAAAGGAAGGATTCAAGAAGAAAGGGAAGGGCTTTGACAGAATCAGAACCAAAGATAAAATGTGTACTCCCACAAAGATAGGCAAGAAATGGAAACACAACAGGAAATGAACCTGTCTCTGGGATGAACCTAGTCAATATGTGTAAGCTGAAGAGGTGTTACTAGAGAAAAGGAAGTAGTGTTTTTAATGAGAAAGATCAACACCAGAAGTGAGGAAGCTTTCTTTGTTTTCTTTGCACATGACCTACAGTAAATCACAGATCCAATTTGAATCATGGTTTCCTCACATTTCCCCTTTTTCTATTTATTGGCTCTTTTGTGTGTACTAACAACATAACAGTAACTAAGATATACTGAATTTTTGCTATATGCCAGGCACTGTTCTAAATGCTTTATATGCATCATATCTCATTTAACATTCTGGATAGCCCTATAAAGTAGGTACATTTACTTCCCCATTTTATAATTAGAAAAGGGAGGCTTAGAAAAGGTGTGTGTGATTTGCCAAAGGATGCTTGTCTCACAAATGCATAGTAGGAACTGGAACTCAAACATGACTCAAGAGCACACAGTGTTAAATGCTTTCTTACACTTTCTTACATTTCGCACACAGTGTTAAATGACTTTCAAATGATATAAAGGACATATCTTACAAAGCTTTTTTAAATGGCCATTCCAATGTAAAATGGTGTTATAATTCTTATTTCCACTAACATTTCAGAATCATCATTAATCAAAAAAACAAGACAGTTAAAATATTTAAAGCATATTCATGTGGAAAGTATTAACACTAAGAAAAAAATTTTTATGATGGCGATACCAACAACATCAAGTCCAGTGCATATTTTGGTTGCCTGTGCCAAGTGTATACAGACTTAAAAAAAGATTTAAAATAATATCAGCTATGAGATAAAATAAACTTAAAATATAAGCCATCACCTGCAGCTTTTTCTCTTCTATCTATTATTTCGCATTAATGCTTGATGAATGATACTGAATAAAATTGAGGAGAGAATTTACTTAAAACAGTGTCAGGCACTGTTTTAACACTTCACAAATACTTACTCATTTAATTCTCATAACATCCTATTAAGTACTTATAATTACCTCATTTCACAAATGGGAAATTGAAGCACACAATGGTTAAACATAACCAGCTCAAGGTCACAAAGCTAGTAATTAGAGCCAATACTCAATTTCGGCAGTTTAGTTAAGAATCTGCTCTTAACTACTGGATCTACTGCAATTCAAGGAATGATGAAATTCTTTTTCAAAACCCAATAGAAAGTAATAATGATAAGGATGAATGGCCATAAGAATGGACAGTCACTTATCTCAGTATACATACTAACACAAAGGAACATGTATAAGAAATATCTTAAGAGTTGTAATAAACAAACTAAGTGAAATTATCAGGAAAAATCATTTTCATTATAATAGCACACCAAATATTAGTCTTTGGAAGAAGAGGTTTCTTTTCATCTTCATATGAAATGCATCATTAGAAAAGCAAAAATAAAATTTGGAGACTAACATTATTTAACATTAGTATTAACCTAAAAGATGTTTCTTCCTCATATCAATGCTTCTCTCTCTCTCCCCTTTCCTCTATCTCTAAAAACAATAAACATATTAAAAAATATTTGATAGAAAAGATTTTTATCACTCTTTGATCCAGTCAACTTATGAAGAAGCGAACTACTGTGGTAAAGCTTTAAAAAAAAATTACATTAACTAGTGGAGTCCACAACAGAATTAATGCTAAATTTGAACCCTTTTAAAGTACAATAGATACTTAATATAACTTTATTTTATGAAAGAACATATTGCAAAGGACTACAGTATTTGCCATTTTGTCTGATTTTCACAACTCTGAGAGTTAAAGAGGGCCTACACTATTATTCTTATCTTACAAATAAGTAAACTAAAGCTAGGGAAAGCTAAATACTTTGCATGATCTAGATAGAGCAATCCTCTGATTCCTCTATCATATGTTGCCAACAATTTTATGCTTTATACTTCTCAAGTTGTATCACAACAATTACTATTTAGCCCAAAAAATTTGGGAAGTATAGAACACATAATGAAGTTTTTTGATCTTTAAAACGTTAAGAATAGTGCTAAAAAATCTCATTATTGTATCCTATACAATTTATTTAGCTGAAATGACCCAGTTAAATCAGTGGAGCCCAAGAAAAACCTGCACTTATTAAAGCTAAGTGGATCCAATTTCAAATGTTAAAAATGTGATAAAATGTGACCCTAAAATAGTATTATTTTTCAAAAAGTAAAAAAAAAAAAAAAAATCAATTCTTTTCTGTGGTCAAGATGGAGGTATAGGTAAGCATACTTTACCTCTTTATACAACTACAGAAAAATAATAACTAGATTTCAAAACAAATACCACCCAGAACCATCAGAAAGTTGAGCTGTATGGAAGTCCAACAATCAAGGATTTAAAGCCATATTCATTCACAGGGTAGGAGGGGTGGAGATGTGTGAGGTGGGAAGGCACATAGGCGCAGTGTGGCTCAGAGAGTGGGGTGAATGGGTGGTCCCACATTCACATGTGGTGGATAAAAATCGGGAGGGAGCCCTGGCTGGTGTAGCTCAGTGGATTGAGTGTGGTTCTGTGAACCACAATTGCGGTTCAATTCCCAGTCAGGGCACATGCCTGGGTTGCAGGCTGGTTCCCTGCAGGCCACTTCCACTTCCCAGCAGGGGACGCACGAAAGGCAACCATACATTGATCTTTCTCTCCTTCCCTTCCCCTCTAAATATAAATAAATAAAATCTTAAAAAAAAAAAAAAAAAATCGGGAGGGAAACCTGGGGAGCAAGGGAACCCAGCCCCAGGCTAGACCACACAGCCCAGGGTTCCAGTGCAAGGAAGATACTGCCTGATTTACAAGACTCCTCTTAAAGGGGCCGCAGGGACTTAGAATTTACACAGACCCACCTCCTCTGAGATTGAGCACCAAGGCTACTGCTGGAAGGGCACCAGTTGTATATAGTAGGAAGTGAAGTGACTAGAAAAAGGGTGAGTGCTGGGCAAACCTCCAGAAGCCAGGCAGAGGCACTGCCACCTCTTCAAGCCCCCTCTCTCCCCCTTCCTCTCTCTAAAATCAGTAAATATATCCCCCCAGTGAGAACTAAAAAATAATAAATAAACTAGGTATGACTATGTAACAAGAAAATAAGTAATGTACGCCTGAACTACAGAAATGTCCCACATATGCTTCTGCTTGGCCTCCCCTTACAACTCCATGCAAAAAGCATAGACCTTTATTGAATAGTTATCATATACTGACGGGATGCCTACTGGGAGCTGGGTTATTTCATGTATTATCTTACTCTAACAAGTAGATGGTAACAACTCAATTCATCAGATTCTGTCTCTTGAGAATTATGCATTCCAGCCAGACATGAGAGAGCAACAAATGATCATATTCATCTGAAGGAATGTCCAGTTCTCCATGAAGGATAGTGCAGTCTAACCTTAGGGGCAATGAAATACACAGCCTTTGTTTGCTTAAATGGCTACCTTAAATCCCCATTATCTGAGTTCATGTTTCTTAAACATGGATTTGAACTGTTCCCCTATTCTGTATTCACACTTCTTAAAAGTGGATTTGAACTATACACCCTCTCAACAACTAAGCAGTGATCTGCACACAATTAGCCCTAAAATACTGAGCTACATTAATATAAATAGCATTCCAGTTCAGAAATACAGAAATTCTCATTTTCAATTATAACCTTTGATATCAAGCAAATGAAAATATCTTAAATATGTAGAAATCATGCAAAAAGTAGTGCTTTAAAAGCATTATTGGGAATAAGAAAATAAGCATGATCTTCCTATTTGTAATTAATAATAGAAGTTCGGGGAAAAAGTCATGATTTTGGGTTAAAACTAAGATACAACTCAAAAACTAAATAGATAACAATACAAGGTGGGAGAAAGGATTCACAAAAGCAGATATGTGGGCTGATCTACCTTTGCTTTATGCTACTTACAACTCCCTAATGTAAGACTATAAAGCAGACAAGCAAGACTTTTGCATGTACAAGGAATCCTGTACCAAGCCCTAGGTAAGCAGGAAGGTATCGAATTTTGCCCTGAATAATGCACTCCATGTACACTGCGCACCCACGTTTTTGGTCCAAACTTTCAGGAGAAAAAACTTTCGTTTTAATTTTTAAATTCAATGATTTATTTATATTTAGTGACAAAACTGATTATTGTATTCTAGGGTATTATTTTGCATATGGATATCATTATTGCTTTCTACAGACCTTTATGCGCAAGCATAAAAGAATTAAAAATATAGATACTGAATTAGCACTACCCATGTATAATGCACATCCTTATTTTCCCATCGAAAACTTGGGCAAAAAATATGTATTATACACAGCAAAATATAGTAAGTGGGGCATACAGGCTTAACTGATACTAGGCTACATGTTCCTACCACTATTACATATTCCAGGTACTAGGCTTAAATGATAGCCTCTACAGGAAAGATTTTAAAAAGCAGAAAGTCATATGTACTTAACATCAGTGATTTTTATTTTAGATCCATTATCTCATTTGATCCTCATACCTCTAGGAAATCGACATGGGTGGCATTGATTTCAATTCAGCACTTGACGAAGCTGAGGCAAAGATGCTGACTCCCCCAAAGCTGAGTAAGTGGCTCCTACTTCGATGCCTACTAGATCATTTTACCTCGCTAACAGCAATAGATTTACTTGCAGATATGCGGTTTTCCGAAATAATTTCAAGTTAGGAAACAAGAGCAACATTTTACAAGGAATACATCTTAATTTCACGTCCGTGGAAATCGAACGCCTCATTCAATTTAAATAGTCAAAGATAAACTGAAGAGACACGCGGACTAGTAATTTGAGTTTCCTCGCGAGAAAATGACAATAGCAAGCACTTCCTTTGACTGCTATGTGGATTAAATGAGATAGATAACACACGTAAAGTGCATAAGATAGAGGCTGGTCTCCTAGCTCGTACTACGCCGTTTCCCAAGTGAAAACGTGCTTCCTGACCTCGAAAATTAACAAACTCAAGAGGTGGGGTCGGAAAGAATGTGAGGGGACGGAAGGAGCAGGGGAAAACAAAGTCCTGGCTTACTTTCCCTTCAACACCTGGCGAAGGGCACTACACTTTTCATTTAAAATGACCTAAAGGAAGTGCTGGGGGTGGCGGCGGCCCTCTGGGTACGACTGTGTGGGTCTGACCGAGACTAGGACCGGGGCACCAGAAACCACAGCACGTGGCCCCTCTTCCCCGCTCCTCCCCATTAATCTCAGGGCCAGAAGCTCAGCAATTCCGGCTTCCCAGACTCCACCCGCACTGCCGCGGCCCGTGGAGAGACCTGGTTAGCCCAGGCCCTCACCCAGACCGACCCTAACACAAGTACCTCAGCTATAATCATGCAACTGACGAGGAAGAGACAGCAGCTCAGTCACGGGGCAGAGTGGACGACCGGAACTCCTCCCCTCTACCTCTCTGATTGGATATTTGTGTAGAGGAAAATGAAGATGATTGGTCAGCAACACAGAGGCGGGCTATAGCTCAGGGGAAGCGAAGGAGGCGGGGCGGGAGGCTCGAGGAATTATGGGAAACCGACTTCCCTGCGCCTGTGTCGAGCCAGTTTACGTACAAAACCGCACCGCACCGCCCCTTACGTTACGTTAACGGAAATTTCAAAGACTCATTGGTTGTGGTAAAAGGGTTGAGCCTCCCGAATGCCTGACCAATAAAGGACAAGAATTAAGCGAGTTCCGCCTCTTTCATGGGCGACCGAGTTCTTTCGTTGATACTGTAACGTGAGTTCCTTTCAGCGTTTTAGATGCTAGAACGTCCACCGATCCGGTCTTGGGAAGAGAATGAGAATTGGGCCCTGAAACACCCACATATGCTCGCAACTTCTAAACATGACTCAAAGGAACCAGTCTTTTACTCCCTCTGTGACGTGCCTGTGTCATTGTTTTCCGCCCCACGTAACTGATTTGTAGTCTCGAATGCGCAAGTCCTGTGTCTTTTAGTATGGTTTTCTTTTTAAATTTTATTTATTTATTTTTAGAGAGAAGGGAAGGGAGGGAGGGAAGAGGGAGAGAAACATCAAGAAAAAAGACTTAGCAAAACTGGAAAGACTGCACGTATATGTTTGTAAAAGAAATATTAGTGTTTCAGACACTTTACCTGACGCTCTACTAGTGGATAGTAACGTTTTCAGTTTGTAAACTTTTTGTGTTACGATAAAAGTCTTTGGTTTTTCATATTAGTGTCCAATTGAGAATACTTGAAATTTAGCAGTGCTACGTACTATAATGGCACAGGTAAATCAAGTTTTGAAATGACATGATGCAGAACTGCCTGCTGTCTTGATAGGAAAATAGTGCTGTAGTTAAAATTCAAATGTGAACAGTTTCAGGGTGTAAATACATTGTATATTATGCAACATTTTATTATGAAGTCCATTTTCAGCCTTTATGGAAACACGTTGGTTTTAAGGCAGGGTTTCCTGCCTTTATTGAATCTTGAATTCCTTTTACTTCTGTGAGTCCATTTAATATTCATCACTTTTGTGCTTCGCAAAAGTAAAAATCAACCTATAAATATCAAAAACTTTTCCTGAGTATATTTAACTCCTTTCAACAGATTTTTTCTTACTTAACGTGTAATACAAGCTTTTTTGTAAGAAAAAAAAACAGAATTTGTGATATAAAATAGTTCCACATTTCTAGATTAAAAATTAAGCACACTTTATAGACCCTGGCTGGTGTGGCTCAGTAGATTGAATGCTGGCCTGTGAACAGAAAAGAAAGGTCACCAGCTCAATTCCTGGTTAGGGCACATGCCTGGGTTGCAGGCCAGGTCCCCAGCTGGGGACCTGTTAGAGGCAACCAGTCTATCTCTGCCACATCGATGTTTCTGTCCCTGTTTTTTTTCCCTCCATTCCCCCTCTCTAAAAATAAATAAAACATTTAAAAAATAAAAATTAAGCACACTTTACAGGATTAAAACCAAGAAAAACTGCTTTTATGACTCATTTTTGGAATTACTGCATTTTTATTTAAATAAATCAAATTTGAATTTTTTTGCTTTGTTTCTAAATGATGAGAGAAGGTTTCAGGTTGTTATTTGTACATGAAGCATGGAACATATAACTTACTTTTATTTTCAATAAATGAAGAGCCAAACTGGGTGTAATCACCACTATATTTTCTCCTTTTAATATTTATGATGAACTAAATGAAATATATAGATATGAAAATCACCCTGAAGCAAAATTGCAGAATTAACAGTTTTAATGCTTTCCCTAACTAGCATTTTAATGGTATTTTCCTTTTCCTCCTATTTAAATCAAAGTTCTATTGAGATATAAATTAAGTTCACGTGACTACCAATAAAAACCATTAAAAACTACAGGTATGAAAAACTTGAGAGACTGAATTGCCAGCATATTTGGCTAATCTGTATTAACTGTCCCAAGTGCTCACACTTTTGGAGACTTTTGGAAGCTCCCAAAGTGTTCCATTTTAAAGAGAAAAACATTTATTGAGAATTTTAAAATAGTAATTAAAACAGGGACCATGACTGCCTTTTAAGATGTGAATCCTGGAATCATCGTTGTACACCATCTTTTGGCAAATAGTTTGCGGGACAACCTCAAAGTCAGAGAAATGCAAGATGACTCTTGAAATGCCAGAACAGAATCACAACCCCTCTTTTTATTTACTTTGTAACCTCAACATTTTTCATGTCTGTTTAAAAATACATGATATATAGTGTAAACTTTTTTGAAATCTATATACATACTTGTTAAGATGGTATATCAGACTTTATTCAAGGGGGCCTACTATGGTGGGGTTTTGTAATATGGGAGAAAAATTGGGCTCAACACTGAGTACAACAAGAAAAAGTGGGAATTAAAATGACGCAGCAGGACTCTTGCTAGAACTGGACACTACAAGGAGGACATGGGAACCCAAGGTCAGGCCTAGTCAAAAAGAGAACACACACGTGTACTGCCCTCCCACTCCTATATATACAAAATATATTTGTCTTTGCTATAACTAAAATACAAATATTTGTATTTGTTATTATTAAAATATAAAGTCCAAATTTTACATAATACTGCTTGGAAGTACTCATGCACAACCACTGTATCAGGGCTCAACCACTGTATCTACATAAACGTTTAAATGTAGAGTTTATTTCAACCAAACTGATGACAATTGCCAGGAAGCAAAATCTCAACAGATTCAGAAAATGCTCTGGAAAATGGCAGAATTTCTTCTGGGAAACCTCAGTTCTACTTTTTCAATAGTGCAGTCAGGCCCACCCAGATTATGTAGGATAATCTTTATTTGAAGTCTATCGATTATGAAGGTTAGTTACATCTACAAAATACAATAGCACCCAGATGAAGAACTTCAGATTATTCATTTAAGAGTGGGGTTTCAGGCTTTTCTTTTTTGCCATCTTGAACCCTGTGGTGCCTGCCAGGAACAGAACTTCAGCAACAACAAATATGTCTGGAAGGCTGTGGCCCAAGGCCATTTTTGCTGGCTATACACGGGGTCTCCAGAACCAGAGGGAGCACACAGCTCTTAAAATTGAAGGTGTTTATGCTTGAGATGAAACTGAATTCTATCTAGGAAAGAAATGTGCTTATGTGTACAAAGCAAAGAACAACACAGTGACTCCTGGTGGTAAACCAAACAAAACCAGAGTAACATGGGGAGAGGTAACTCGTGCTCATGGAAACAGTAGCATGGTTCGTGCTAAATTCCGAAGCAACCTTCCTGTCAAGACCATTAGGCACAGAATCTGTGTAATGCTGTACCCCTCCAGGATTTAAACTTACTGATAAATAACAACCCCGACTGTGTGGCTCGATTGGGGGGCCTCTGGCAAAGGGAAGGATTCCAGGCTGGGGGACATGGTTGGGTTGCAGGCTCAGTCCCTGGTCAATATGCAAAGGGGAGCCAACTAATGAATATTTCACTTACACATCTGTGGTTCTCACCTTTTTCTCCCTCTCCCCTCTCAAATAAGTAAATAAAATCTATTTTAAAGAGTAAATTTAAAAAAAAGAGTGGGTTTCAGGCTTGGAAGTCATTCCAAAGAACCATATTTGTTACTGTCTTATATATGTGAGAATGGGTTAGTATGAACATACAAAATGCACAAATCAATTCCATTTTCCAATCTCTGGTAAAATAAATATAAAAAGAACTGTCCTATATTCAAACTCCAATGTAACATGCCTCTCTAACTCCCTGCTTCATTTGGCTGGCTAGTCCTTGAGACCTTGACCTAAAATCCTACATTTGAACCTTCTGGCTCCTCCATTCCTAAGCACCTTACTCCTTTGCCCAATGCTGGAGCCCCTTGAAGGTTTCCCAGTACATAAGGCCCACACCTAGACATGCATAGCTCTACCACGTAAGGAGTACTTTCTGGCAAACTACTAGCTCTGGAGCTTTTGAAAATGTCAACAATATTGCCCTTGAAGCCGAAGTGTGGGGTTGTGAGGACATCCTGTGACAGGTGCCAGCTTGTTTATACCAGTCACCATGCCAGACTGGTTTTTTTCAAGACAGTAGTGGTGTTTTAACTCCTTTCCATTTTAAGATGGATTTTACTATTGCCCCTTTTAGTTTAACAGATGAAAGTTGGTGAAGAGGCAGAACCAGTACAGAAACTGTTAGTGATGTTAAGCAAAAACACCAACTATCTCCAGAAAACCTCTTGAAAGAGCTGTTCACAAGTAGCAAATTGACTGCTTTAAGCTGTGTGTTTTCTTCCTGCCACTTTGAAGTTAAAAGGAATGAGCAAATAGTAACACAGTTACTTTAAATGGAAGAGAAAAAAAAAGTCTCCAGAATTTGATTAACTAGTCTCTGGGTCTTCTCTTTAGTTAAGCATTAGAACCATAGTTTATTTTATTTTTAAAATATTTTATTTATTTGTTTTTAGGGAGAAAGAGAGAAACATCAATGTGCAAGAGATACATTCATCAGTTGCCTCTCGTACACTCTTACCTGGGTACCTGGCCCCCAGTGCAGGCATGTTCCTTGACTGGTAATCAAACAGGTAACATTTCAGTTCACATAATATTCGTAAATATTATTCTTTATATCTCTAGATATAGGACTTTTTTTGCCAAAAAAAGATAACAATAGAAAGACATTTTAATAAGGACTATTACTCAAAACTAGGTATGTGATTTTGAGAAAATTATTTAATCTCTGTAATCCTCTAATTACTCATCCAGTAACAATATCTCCAATGTAAATATAATGTAACATCTAGCACAGGGCTTGCTACATGTAGGCATTCAAGAATTAGTTCAAGTTCAAACCTTTGATCTACTAACACCCTTTGCTCTGATAAATTATAGGAAGGATGACAAAATGTTTGCTTAGCCTTTTGTTTCTTTTTAAATTATTTACTTATTTTAGATTTTATTTATTTATCTTTAGAGGGGGGAGGGAAGGAGAGAGGGAGAGAAATGTCAATGTATGGTTGCCTCTTGTGCATTCCCTGCTGGGAACTGGCCCACAACCCAGGCATGTGCCCTGACTGGGAATTGAACTGCAATCCTTTGGTTCACAGGCCTGTGCTCAGTCCACTGAGCTACACCAGCCAGGGCTGTTTCTTTTGTTTAAATGAGGCATTTTCATTCTTTACCCTTTTAATTGTTGAAAATGAGCCTTGTAAAGAGGGAAAAAATTAAGTGATAGCACCAGGAATTTACAAAAGCCAGGAAATGGAATCAAGAAAGTTTAAATGAAGCATATCAAGTTAGGCAGAGTAGAGCCCAGTATTAAGAGAATTTATGTGAACTTTGTGAAACAAAGACTGATTGATCTATCTGATATCCTTTTTTTAATGGCATCTTTTTAATTGTTGTTTTATTGTTGTTTAAGTACAGATGTCCCCATTTTCCCTCACCACTCCCCTCGCCCCACCCTTCCCCACCACCCACCCTCAATCCTACCCCCCTTTGGCTTTGTTCATGTTCCTTGATGACCCTTCCCCTCTTTCCTCCCCTTATCTCCTCCCCGCTCCCCTCTATTACTGTCAGCTTGTTCTTTATTTCAATGTCTCTGGTTATATTTTGTTTGCTTGTTTTATTGATTAGGTTCTACTTATAGGTGAGATCATGTGGTATTTGTCTTTCACTGCCTGACTTATTCCACTTAGCTTAATGCTCTCCAGTTCCATCCATGCTATCATGAAGGGTAGAAGCTCCTTCTTTCTGTTCTGTAGTATTCCATTGTTTGACTCATCTGATATTCTTAAGATTTCTCTTTTTTTATGTAATCTCCAACTGATGTATGTGCCAGTATAATACAAAATCATTTATCTGAGCTTTAAAGAAATATGAGAGCTTTCTGTTTTCTTTTATAGGAGCTTTCTGGAACTTTGAGCCCCCAGATCCAAATACCAATAGTATTTCTATTCACTATCTGTGCTTTTTAAATTTATATATTGCTGGACTCTTTCTTATCTAGAAAACAATTTAGTAGGAGGTTGGATTTAATCTTCTTTTTTCTTTTTAAAGATTTTATTTATTTATTTTTAAAGAGACAGGAAAGGAAGGAGAAAGAAAGGAAGAGAAACATCAATGTGTGTTTGCCTCTTGCACGCTCCCTACTGGGGACCTGGCCAGCAACCTAGCCCTATACACTGACTGGGAATTAAACTGACAACATTTTGGTTCTTAGGCCGCACTCAATCCACTGAGCCACACTAGCCAGAACTGGATTTAATTTTTTAAGCATTATATTAAATATAGGGTTGGGCAAAAGTACATTTACAGTAATATGTGAAATTTAGTTTGTTCTTGTATTATTATTAATTATTGTATTATATTCCATAGGAACAACTGAAAACCTACTTTCGTCCCCACCCCATAAATTTTCTTGGCAGAATACACAATATCCTGTGTTGTGCCAGGCATAAAGATGGATCTGATCATGACTGCCAACATTTTATTATCTGAGCAATAATATCACATTGCAATAGTGCCATGTTTTCTTCCACTTTAAAAAATACATTATGGTGATGAAAGAGATAAAATAGTCTCAGTGGAAGTTGACAACTATAATAAAGTTTTTAATCGGATAAGTACTCTCAGGCTGATAAAGAGAAAATCTGGAAGATAAAAGGAACATCACATATATTAAGTCTCAGTCATGAATACATTATCTAATTAATTAGCATGTTTCACCCTTAAATTCCAATATTGAAAATCAATACATAATAGTCTTTGATTTGTACTATAAAATTTACTACTTTTGATAATCATTTCCCACTTAAACTTGTGGTGTGTAATAATTTTCCCATCAATCATCCACATTAACAAAACTACATTTGAAAATTTTTTCTGACATCTCCTTTTGCAATAGGGTGAGCCAGGCCAGGTCACTGGGAAGAAGGGGAGGAGACCCCAGTAGCAGTGCCAGAGCCAGCACCACCCTGAGATGGTGGCTTCAAGGTGGTGGTTTGAAGCCACAGCCTGCAGAATAGGCTTCCTTTACCCCAGGGGAATGTATAAAGAACTGGTGAGTTCCTGACCCAGCCAGAGGGAGCTTATACAGGGCCTGCACAAGTCATGGGGTCTGGATGTTCCACTTCAGGCCAAGATACTTGTACACCTATGTGTGGCTGGGAAACTTCTGCCCCTTCTGCAAAATTGCATCAGGAAGAGGGTTAAGGACACTAGGGAGCTGACAAAAATTCACACACATTGGCGTACCTTGATTAAAAAAAAAAAAAAAAGGTCACTCTGTTGAGCATGGATCTGCATGAGGTCTTTAAAATGCAAGGTGCTGGGAAACATTTGGTCTTTTGCTCTCCCCCCCCCCAAGCCTGGTCTGCTGCAGCAGGTTCCAGTTCCTGAGACTGGTACACCCTTAAGGCCACATGGCCTGGGAACATTCCCAGCTCCACTCTTGTGCAGATAGCAGAGGCAGCACTGGGTGTGACAGGTGGGACTCCAGCAAGTGTACACAGAGTCCTCAGATGCCTAGAGCTGAACTGTGACCAGGAACCAGCTAAGCTGCCTGAATGATCATGCAACAGACATTTGTGTTCCTCAAAGGACAGTACTTTTAGGAGTGGGAAGAAAAGATCCCAGGTACTTCCCTGTACTGCCTGCCCTGGGAGATGGTGGTAGGATTCTTAGTCTTTGGGTGTTTTAAAGGGAGCAGGACTCTAAGGTAGAAACCTGCCATTGTTCCACAACTGTGTATAGCCTTTAAATAAACAACCCCTTTCCCTTTTCCCACATCTCTGTCTCCAGAATTTTGCAGTTAGGTAATGAGCAATAGAATCCCACTTGACTGTTCTGGAACAGCACAGAGATGTTCTGTAACACTTAGAAGCATGAGTGAGTAATTAAAAGAAAAACTTTCAAAAAGAAAAATCACTGGCTGGTGTGGCTCATTTGGTTGGAGCATTGTCCTATAAGCCAAAAATCACAGAAAATAGAATAAAAAGTAAAGAAATAGAAAATAGAAGAAAAAATTTTTTAAAGAATCACTTTAGTGGGTTTGATTAATATGAATGAGGTCTGGAATGAGAAAAGAAAAAATTGAGAAGAGGCATTACAAGAAATAAGACAAAAATATTCCAAAACATGACATGATTCTTTATTGCATCCCTTAAGCAACAAATGAGAACACAAAGATACATTGTTGTGAAAATGTCAATATCCTAGACCTAGAGAGAAGATCTAAAAAGCATTCACAATGAGGGGATGGGCCTTGGCAGAATGAAGTCCTCATATACTATAGTGGGAAGTCAGTATCTAAAAACCAAAAAAAAAGTAACCGTGTCCTGGCCACTGTGGCTCAGTTGGAGTGTCGTCCCATACGCCAAAAGACTGGGGTTTTGACTTCCAGTTAGAGTGCAAATGAGGGGCAACCAATCAATGTTTCATTCTCACAGTAATGTTTCTCTCTCTCTTTCTCCCTTCCTCTCTCTCAAAAAATTGAAAAAAGTTCAGGCCAGATGCTGAGAGAAGGCAGAGGGTGAGGAAAAAACCCTTAGGCAGAACTGAAGATTAGAAGCAACTTGCCCTCCCAGCAAAGGGAGGGGCCGCCAGAGAAGGGAGACTGCTCCAGCAGCTGCGTGAACCAGCCCAGCCCCACAGGCGTTCTTGGCTGCCAGCAACCAAATAATTTGTGACTCAGCAGGAGAGAGCTTGTACAGAGCATGCATGGTTTAAGACTTATGCTTCCCTGCACAAAATGGCAGCTGGAAGAGGGACAAAGGCAAACATGGTGGATATTAATGCACATTGGTTAAAAGCTGGATGTTCCACTGCACAGGGATTTCTGGGCTGAGTCTTTAAAGTGGAATGTGCCGAGACATGTGCTCTCTTTACCCTCCCCTGGCTAACCTCATTTACCACAGGGAGCTTGAGTTCCTGAGACCTGTGGGTTCCCCAAGGACCACATGGTTGGGATCCAAGTACTTGCACCCCTCCCACACAGAAAGTGTCTGAACTAGCTGAACTGTGTGACTGGGGAACTACCTAACCACCTGGATTATCCTGCTACAGTTATCTGCATTTCATAAAGGATGGTTCCTCTGTAGTGGGAAAAGGGGATTTCAGGTGCATTCTAGAATTGGCAGAGGGTGGCATGGCTGTTTGTCTTTGGGTATTTTAAAGGGAGTAGGGCCCTAAGGCAGAAACCTGCTACCATTCCAAAACTACATAACCTTTAAATAAACCACCACTTTTCTCTTCACCTAAGTCTTGTGTCCAAAGTTATGCCTATGGGTGGCAAGCCATAGAACCCCACTAACTGTTCTGGAACAGCAGAAGGTTGTCTGGTAACAAAATCAATAAATGTATGTGTTTTTTTTTTTAATTTTTAAAAATAACCCTATAGGAACATTGTTTAGAAATATATGTTGTGCAATTTTGTGCAGCAGCAGTATCATAACAAATGAGGTTTATCCAAGGCAGGATCATTGCTCATTGAAAAAGAAGAAAAAAAGCAATATGGCTATAAATTCCGGTAAACAGAAGAGCTGAGGATATTGACCTGGTCAGGCACCTGGAGTAGAGCAGGGAA